GACAAAGTGGCCAAGACAAAGACCACACCCATCTTCAAACCAGCCAGCCCTCAGCATGGGTACCAGAGCAACGGGGGTGGGACTGTGCCTGAAGTGTCCGCCGACCCGGAGAAGATTCGCCTGGAGCAGAGCTACAGGGAGCGAGGGGAGGACCGTGGCCGGGTCAGAGAAACTCCCCTCAGTGTTCGCATCAGCAACGTGTGAACAAACGGTTGACTGGTTGAGAAGGGAGCATTTCGTGGAGAGCAACTCGCAGGAGACTGCCAAGTTCAGAGTCAACAGTGAATCAGTGAAACATCAAAGCAGCTTTGGACACTGTCTTTTTAGACTGTTTTGAACTTATATCAGAAAGATGTTTGGTTCTCAGTAGCGCCACATGATGCAGAAAGCAAATATGGAAGACAATGAACTCCTGTATGGTCAGCTTAAAATTTGTCATTGTCATACATCTGCTGGGATAATACATGTTTTACACAGGTTTGACTGCATTACATGATGGCATAAAACACTACCTAACTGCCACTGCTACTTACATTTGTGTGGCGAGTGAGAATCTACTGTATACTTTTATAACAAAAAACAATAGTTGGATTATTTATTCATACAGAAATCCTATCTCCTAAAAATTACATTTCTATACAACTAAACTGCAACAGCAAATACGTGTACAAAATTAATTGCGATTTGACTCTGTTTTTATTATGGATATGTTGTTAATGTGTTTAGCAAGTCGCAAATACTTTGATACTTAACGTATCAGTAAAACAGTCACAGACAGTGTATCTGTTGTCCACCAAAATATCATATTGGTTGAACGGTTGCAACAGGCGACGGTTGCAACAAGTCTTATTCATCCAATCAGAAACGTGCTAGAAGGACGACACTCATATTGCACCTAACCCTAACCCTTATTGAAAAACAGAACAGAGCAAAACAGACCATACAACAGTATTTTTCAATATTTCCAGGTTAATGTATGTGGCTAATTTTGTCCCATAGCACAAAAGACGCAGCAATAATCATTCATTTTAAAATACAAACAATTTATTTTGAGAATTATTTTGTTAGCCTCTCTTACATATTTTTATTTTCACCATAAGCAATAAATTAGATAAATTGTGCCTATTTTAACTCAAGGTAGGCCGATGTTCTATGCAAAACAAAACTCAATAACCTTTCTTTGATAATTATCACTAAATAAATGAATAATATTATAATATTACTGTAAAACAATGCATACTTTCAGAATACTACACTTATTGAGACAAAAAGTAAATGTTAATTGGTAAAATTTCATGCAACTGTCCCTGATCCATGTTGCAAGAATTCAGATCTAAATTCTTAATTTCAAATAAATATTGTGAATAATATGTCATATATAATCATCTTTAAATAGTTCGGGTAAGTAGCAGACTGATGTAGGCTAAGTTTATTATATGAAAATGATCATATTAGTTGGTCTAGTCCAAATAGTCTCTCTTGCAAACATCCCCCAGGTATTCATTGAAAAAATATATTACATGTCGAACCTAATCCAGCCAGGGATTATGTTTCCTACAAAGCATATTTGGTGTTGCAGTTCAGTTGTATAGATAAGTCATTTCTCAGGAGGCAGGGTTGAAACAAAACAAAACTCTAATTAGTTCTCTCCAGAGTACAAAGTACCAAATCACAAAGAGAAAAACTTGCAAAAAAGTGCGAGACATTATGAGTGTATATTTTCCAGTGTATGAAGGGTAGAGGGGTATGGGGGTGATGTTGTGTGATAAAGTCAGCAGGAAACACCCACAGACACTTTGGCATATACAGGTAGAATCCTCTGCTATACCTCCTCTAACATACATGTAAATGTATGGTTAATACACACATAATGCATATGTACTACAGTACGCACAAATTTATTTCTAAAAAGGTCAAATGACTTTGAGTTTCGGTATAGTAAATATTATACTTGACACACCAATGAGTGATGGTGAGTCAGTTTATCTCACAAAGTCCCCAACCCATATTTCCTCTCAACATGGTATTTTTATCCTTCCTGTTGCAAAAGGCAGCAGTACTGATGTGTGTTGTACATGGCGATGCACGCACAATTAAGAACTGGAGATTATGTTACGCTAATGTAGCACTACAACTAAAATGTAGACAAACAGAGTGAATATACTGTGTTTAAGGTGCTCTGTACACTGTATCTCTTTTAGTTGGAGGTTTTGGTTTGAGTATTTCTTGTGTGTGACTGTTACTGCTGTTTCAAAACAGAAAGTTAGCACTTTATGTACATGATGTACGTTTGCACCTTAGGAAGGTTAGCTGCCTACGTATTTTTGTGACCTTACCTTAGCGGGATAAATTTTTAACACCACTAGAAGCACTTACATATTGAATATCATTGAATTTGAAGCACTTATAGAAGAAACTAAAACAGCTTCCTTCCTACAAAGCTAATTAGAATTGCTGTTTCTCTCTCTCAGTGGCTTTAAGCAAACTGACAAATGAGATAATGTCTTTAGATAATCACAAACAGCTACTGTACATGCATGGATGTAAATGCCCATTTGGTAATTTTACTTAAAATGTTGAAGAAGCTCTCCTCTCTGTGTGCAGACGACGCTGTGGTATTCAAGTTTTTAACAGTGTCAAATGAATTACAGGCCTTTTGTTGAAACACCCCCACCCCCTTTTTCCAGTCTAGACCACAAGTACATGAAGAGGACTTGTAAGATGACTACACCAGAGGTGAGTGCTGAGAGATGACAGTGTTAAGTGATGCTGTAAATCACAGATCATTCTGATGCAAACGCATGACAATGATGGTTCTGTGATGGACATGAATATGTTGGAAATTGCATGTATTTGTAACATTTTCTTAACATCAAGCTGTGGAGTGTTATTAGTGTTTAAAAGTGCAGCTGGAGAGATCGAATGAGACGGTTCTCTCTAAAAAGTGATTAAATAAAGCTAATGATGATTTATTAAAGGTCATATTTTGTTTCACATCTTTCACTAGAAGAGGAATGACACATGAATAAACTAATTACTACAGTAGCCCTGAGAGCCCAACGCACTGCAACTCAAGCAAATAGACAAAACCCAAGCAAATTTAGAACATCTTCACCAACTTGACAACACGTGCTGCAAATACTCATGACACACTTGAATTAAAAAAAAAAAAAAAATTATTATGTTGATCAGGTTGGTCCAAAAAAAGGAAGTGCTGTCACATATATGTCACAAATAAATAAACATTGGTTACACTTACACATTTGGATAGTCCGCCTACAGAGAGTTCTCAGAGTATTTGTGACATTTAACAATCATTGTTGAACATTCAACTAACATTCAACAATGTACAGGTGCATCTCAATAAATTACAATATCATGGAAAAGTTCATTTATTTCAGTAATTCAATTCAAAAAGTGAAACTCGTATCTTATATAGATTCATGACACAGAGTGAAATATTTCAAGCCTTTATTTCTTTTAATTTTGATGATTATGGCTTACAGCTAATGAAAACCCAAAACTCAGTATCTCAGAAAATTAGAATATTGTGAAAAAGTTCAATATTGTAGACTCACGGTGTCACAGTCTAATCAGCTAATTAACTCAAAACACCTGCAAAGGTTTCCTGAGCCTTTAAATGGTCTCTCTGTCTGGTTCAGTAGGCTACACATTCATGGGGAAGACTGCTGACTTGACAGTTGTCCAGGAGACAGTCATTGACACCCTCCACAAGTAGGGTAAGCCACAAAAAGTCATTGCTAAAGAAGCTGACTGTCCAGAGTGCTGTAGCGTATTCATAGAAAGTTGAGTGGAAGGAAAAAGTGTGGTAGAAAAAGGTGCACAGGCAACAGGGATAACCGCAGCCTTGAGAGGATTGTGAAGCAAAGGCCATTCAAGAATTTGGGGGAGATTCACATGGAGTGGACTGAGTGTGGAGTCAGTGCATCAAAGGCCACCACGCACAGACGTATCCAGGACATGGGCCTGCCAAGCCACTCCTGAACAAGAGACAACGTCAGAAGCGTCTTACCTGGGCTAAGGAGAAAAAGGACTGGACAGTTGCTCAGTGGTCCAAAGTCCTCTTTTCAGATGAAAGTAAATTTTGCATTTCATTTGGAAATCAAGGTCCCAGAGTCTGGAGGAAGAATGGAGAGGCACAGAATCCAAGTTGCTTGAAGTCCAGTGTGAAGTTTCCACAGTCAGTGATGATTTGAGGAGCCATGTCATCTGCTGGTGTTGGTCCACTGTGTTTTATCAAGTCCAAAGTCAGCGCAGCCGTATACCAGGAGATTTTTAGAGCACTTCATGTTTCCTTCTGCTGACCAGCTTTATGGAGATACTGATTTCATTTTCCATTGGCACCTGCCCACACTGCCAAAAGATTCATGCAAAAGGAGCCCGACCAAGTATTGAGTGCGTATACACGAACATACTTTTCAGTAGGCCAACATTTCTGTATTAGAAATCCTTTGTTTTATTGGTCTTATGTAATATTCAAATTTTCTGAGATACTGAACTTTGGGTTTTTATTAGCTGTAAGCCATAATCATCAAAATTAAAAGAAATAAAGGCTTGAAATATCTCACTCTGTGTGTCATGAATCTATATAATATATGAGTTTCACTTTTTGAATTGAATTACTGAAATAAATGAACTTTTCCATGATATTGTAATTTATTGAGATGCACCTGTATTTTGTCAGACTCAGCTGTAATTGAGGCCTACTGTCACCGCATCTGTATGCTCACAGATAGGACTGTAATGTATCTGTATTGCCTCAACATTTCTAAAGTGTCGCTATGTTAACATTGTGAACATGGGTTTTCTGCTAAAAGTACCGGCAAAGTAGAGCAGGGTCTGATTAACTTCAGGTGAAGCTGGTGGATGTTCTGGAAAACTGGAATTGTTTCTTTTGCAGAAGTAATTTAAATGAAAGCTGTTAGAGTATATGTAGAAGCCAGAATACAGGCAGTGCTCAAATATTCGCACCACTTCCTCATGTGACACATTTTACAGAATGGCTCTCGTACTTCTCTTTTCCGCTTTTCTGTTGTGTCCATTTCACACAAAAGGTAAAAAGTTGATTTTTTTTTTGTTTTGTGTTTGTGTTGTTTAAGTAAGTTGGATAAAAAAAATCACAGTATGTATATACAGTATATTTCAGGAGGTGATATGAATTAATGTTTCATCAGAACAAATTAATTGATATATATTGAAAAATGTATATGATTTTCTGTAATGTGCTTGTTGTAAATTACTTCAATAGTGATTCTAATAATCTAAAACTATACAATTTAATGAGATATGCTTAGATACATAGTTATGTCAGTTATTACTAATAGACTAAAATTTAGGTGTTCATAACTGTTTCCGGATTGATGACGACGATAAGCCACATGATTATTCAGTATTATCTGCACTTGGACGAAAATGTGGATCCAGACACAAATATAAAAACCTTTCCTATACCTATACCTTTCATGTTATTAAAGTTACAAATTCAGCGGGTTAGGCATCTTTGAGTTCTTCTCCTCAATTCTAGTTCCTTTACTTTTGGCTTTGAATTTCAATACATCGTTTACCATTTACTCTAGATAATATCTGTTTGAATCTTTAGATCTTTAGATTCTAGCTGTTTAATTATATTGAAATGCTTGAATTGATTGATTGATTTTGTTGGCCAAAAACTAGTAAAACTTGAATACTATCAAATCTTTGCGCACATCAGAAATGGAGATGGTGATTCAGAGGTCTAGAACCAGTCTATTATGTCCACCAAGTAATAGTTTTTAATTACTGAATGTAAACTGCCACCAGGTTTCTAAAAGCTTCTCTATTTGATTTTTGACTCTAATCTCCTGAAAGAGTTTATTGACAGCGAAGCAATTTGTGACAGCGATTAGCTAAAGATAACGAATGACTCTGTTGCAAAACTGTAAATCTAAATCTACAATGAAGAACTCATTAGAAAACTAATGAAGTTCTTTTGAAAGATCTTCTCACTTCTTTCTCTTTATCTCTGTATTTTTTTCTGTTAAACTCTGACTTGTTACAACATATCCGTGGTTTTACAGCGGTTCAACAGTCTTCCTGTTTCTCACCTATTGTGAGGGGTGAAGGCTGAACATTTATGCACACTAATCTCTTCATTGACAGTACTTGTGATATTGATTTTAGTTGCAATGTAGCAGTTCATGGAAGAAGCAGCATCTGTATTTTGTGCAAATCAAAGAAAGACTAGAGTATCATTCATATTTAATTTGTTTCTATCCCTATGATGGACACTTTCCAGAGGGCATTGCTGTATTAATACTGATAAGCAGTCTATCACATCATCCATTAAATATCTTTAATTGGTTGTGATGTGTTCAGCTCAGCATATTACTGTGCTCATTCAACATACAAAACACAATTTTTAAATTTTACCTCATTTATTTAAGTTGTAAAAAAGTACTTTTTAGGGAGCACAGTGAATTCAGTTCTATGTAGTGAATCGAGATGGTAGAGTGAAATCTGAAATGTGTGGGAGCCCACTTGGATTTTACATTACTGTTCAGGTGATTTCACCTGTGTTTTACTTAATAGAAATTAATGTGTACTATTGAAGCCAAAGCTTCAGAAATTGGCCTGCTAAATATAATACTTAATAGGTCAGCAGCAGGTCTATGATGTTTAGGTTGGTTTTCTTTGTCATCTATTGGGAAAGTCCTTGTGGGTGTGTCCATTTTCTTCTCTTCTGTAGTGCTAGGGCGAGGATGGCAGACATTGTAAGACTACTGACTACAGACAGGGACAGGCAGCTGCACCAGAGCCAAAGTAGCACATTGTAAAATGAATTTATTTTCGATCCCTAGCAAACAGAGTCTGCAGCAAAGAGACAGCTTCAGCCTGAGCTGCATTGTTGACCGCCATATTGCATTTTGCCTCCACCTGTGTCTTAACTCCTTTTTTTATGTTTATTGGTGGTTGTGTGCCACGAACTGGTAGCAACTTCCAAGTGTGGTGGATACATACATACTTAAGCATAGACATATATAAATAGATGCTGCATTGGCTGCTGGATTGTACGTCAATGCCGCTGCCATATTGGTCCAGGGAAAGCTGCCCTGTAATCAAGCACAAGTAAATGGAGGAGCTGCAGTTTTCTGGATATAAAGCGTTATAACGTTTATATTTCTTAACCGATTTCAATTTTCCACCTAAATCTAACATTAATACACACTCCTCCTTATGGAAAACAATGAGTACAGCCTAAACTGTCATGACTCTAATTAATTGGTGACCAAACTTTTATTTTTACTCCAATTAGATGATAAACCCTTGAATATAAAAAGACTAATTGAAATTGGTTGAGAAATACAATATAAACGTTATAGAGCTTTTTATCCAGAAAACCTGCAGATGCTCCGTTTATTCCTATTTCTTTACGGGACAGTTTTGCTCGGTCCAATATGGTGGCAACGTTGATGTATCACAGCAACTGAAGCGTCTATGTATGTCTATGTACTCAAGCACATACATACATGCATTCTTACACACATATACCCTCATTCATGTGTATGAATGTATGTATGTACATGTATAACTGTATGTGTGTATATGCATGTATATATGTATGTATATGCATAATAGTATGCATGAATGTGCAAATGCTTAGTACTGGTATATATGTATGTAAAAATTAAGTATTCAATTTTGGCCTAGGTGGCTTCTCATAAAAAACTTAATGCAAGAGCTATCTCCAAAAGAAAACATCTACAACAGATCTCATGTGGCACTCTGCTAGAAATATGTACTCTGCAACAAAAACTGTGTGACAACCATTTATTGATTCCTTTCTGAAATGAATTTATAAGCAAATGATAAAAGATGAAACAAGAATTAACTACCAAAGTAATTCATTTCTAGTATATATGTTTATTTACTATTCACTTAATAAGCACACATGATTTTGACAACTGTACTCTTTTTTTTTAGGGTCCAGTACTGTGCCTACTCTGTATGTGCAGCAGGGAAACGATGCACTTCTGGATGTCAAGACTGCTGTTCAACTCAACAAAAAGACAGATTTTTTCTGGAAATTTAATAAAACTTACAATGTAGGAAAATTAGCTTATAAAGTGGATCCAATCATCTTTGACATGTATGAGGGAAGGGTTAAGATTTTTGCACAAAATCACTCTTTGCTACTCAAGAATCTACAAACAAACGACAGTGGCTATTATACTGCAGTAGAGTCTGCGGGAAAAGACCAAATGGTAGCTGAATACAAGCTCATTGTCCAAAGTAGGTTTCTTTTTTTTTTTGTTTGAATGTTCATACCTACTATTACCCTGTTTTTAAAACCTTTCACACCTGATTTTGATTGATTTTTTTTTCCAGAGCCTGTGTCTCCAGTTTATTTGAAAGTGAACTCCAGCAACTCTTGCAACCTTACTGTGACTTGCAGGCCAAAGGGCTCCAACATTAGCAAGACTTTTAGATGTGACGAACAGTCCTGCTCTCAGGAGGGAGGAGAGGAAGCCACAACCTACACTGCGTCTATTAATGTGTACCTGCAACAAAGCGTTGTCATCTGTAACCATAGTAACCAAGTGAGCTGGAAACACAAAGGGGAGAAGATTAGTTTTCTCTGTGGGCCACATCCAGGTAAGATTAAAAAGCATAAAGACATACAGACAGTGATTGACAGTTTGAAGTTACTCATAAGCATTCAAACATTTCACACGAAGAGATCTCTGGTGCTAACTGGTTCATTTAAAGTGGAGTTTTGAGTGGAGCCATGAAAAAAAACATAATTTGTAAAAGTTGCGCATTTGATTGAAGCTTTTATCTGCTTCCATTTACCTGAAATGTCAGATGTGAATTATACTCCCAACACTTTAGTACACACCTTTGTAGACGTATCATGGTGTGGCTGGGGTACACTTTTCTTCCACTTAGTAATGCAGGGCTTGATTATTCACTTATCCTTTGTATAATGCAATAATGCAGCCTCATGAAGAGTTTTCAGCTATTTCCCAAGGAAAATACCCACTGACTTTTTAAAGAACTTCATATGCCATTTTGCTCATAAATATACTGTATTTGCAGTAGCCAACCAATTCCACTCACACTAAAAACAGAAGAAGGGGTTTACATTGTGTATGGGAAGTTTTGTAATGCTCATTGTCAGGTGCAACTCGTCATTACCTATACAGTAGATATGTCACCAAATACTGTGGGAGTCAACACACTATATTTTCCTACTGGTCAGAAAAAGATTTACTGCTATTCCCCTTTGAAAAGTAGTCTTTGGGTGATCTAACAAGTTATGAATCTATAGGGACTTTGAGACTCAAATGGAGAGATTATTTCTGCTTTCAGAACACTTTTCTTCCACAAATATTTGTGAAATTAAAACTGCAATTATATGTCAGTATTTCTGATAAAGTTTTCTTTATTTCTTTACAGTTCCTAATAAAACCACCATCATTTCAGCTGTGACTGCTGTTGTGATTGTTGGACTGATTGCCTCTGTTTGCATCATCAGAAAATGTAAGTCCTAGTGTGCAAGGAACAATACAGTAAAAATCTTCTTAATTTTTAGCACATGGAAATCCAACAAAGCAGCAGAGCATATTTTGCTATACACAGATCTGTTGCGTAAAAAAGAGATTCAAAATAAGGTGATTTAAATTACATTTTTTTGGCCTTAGGTTACCATAGGTTACTATTTGGGTTTCTCTAATGCCTCCCTTTGCAAATAACATTATCAAGAGCATGGATAGCATGTTTATAAAAAAAAAAAAAAAATTCAGTAGTGAAAATGAAAAATACCCTGAGCTTGAGAGTAATATAGATGTCATACAGTATTTTGCATTTGACTCATGTATCAGCTTGATGAGCATCTGACAGTTTGTCTTTCCTTTCTTTTCAAAAATCTTTCCATCTTAAATTTTACGTGCCTTTTTGTTGTATGAATAAACCTTACTAACCTGAATCAAGATAGTGTTTCTAGTTTTAGAGCTCCATTGTTTGTTTATTGATACTAAATAAATCAGATTCATTTAACTTTTGTTTCACTACATATGACTTGCCTTTAGACCAAAAATATTCAATTGAATTGAACTTTAGTAAATATATTTTCTATTTCTCCTCACCCAAAATCATATACTGGTACTGTGAAGGCTTTAAAAACATTTATGGAGAAATGATAGAAAAAACATAGACTTTAATGTTCAATGAACAGTTAAATGAATAGATAAAAGTAAGTACTATCAGACCAGGGGTGTCCCTCTCTATCTTCAAGAATCTCTTGAAGACTCATCTCTGCCGAGAACACCTCCTCCTCTAACACCTCCACCAAGGTTTCCTACTGCACTGAAGCTTTAGTGTTGTCCCTCACCTGTAAGTCACTTTGGATAAAAACCAAATGAGTGAATGTAAATGTAAAAATCCTCTGCTGATCCTGTCTTTGAAAAAGTGGCTTTACTAACATGGTTACAGTAGCTCATGGGCTGAAGCAGTTTGAACAGTTCAAAAACGCACCAGAGAAAGCCAAGGTCAGTCATTTCAGATGCTCAGTAGTGAGATAACATTATGTCAGGCTGCAGTGCTCCTTCTCATCCTCTACCAACACACACTGATGCAAGCTACAAACTAGAATTACCGCCTCATGGTTGCCTGCCTCCGTCACTCAGACTAGTTTCAGCCTACATCCCTGTTTATCTGAAGTCATATAAAATATTAACCATTTGTGTGAAATTTTGTCATAATTGCTGTGTGAAGTCTTGAGTAATGGCTACAAAGTGTTTTTTGAGGTCACAGTGACCTTGACCTTTGACCTTTGACCACCAAAATCTAATCAGTTCATTCTTGAGAATGTGGATGCTTATGCCAAATTTGGAGAAGTTCTTTCAAGGCGTAATGGGATGGACGTACAGACAGACATGTGGATGGATGGACAACTCAAAAACAATATTCCCCCGACTCTGGCTGTCACAGTGCGGAGGCATAAAAACAAGTTGCTAACCTAGCATTCTTCTCACACAAATTAGCCTACTCACAGAAGGGACATTTTGGACATGTCTCCAAAAACATTTTTTTCTTTACATAAAACAGTGAAAAATCACTTTGACTGCAAAAAGGGATGTTTTCTAATTTAGATTGGACATAAGAAAATGAACCCTGTAACAAAGCCATACTGTGTAAAGATTTACTATATACTGAACAAGCAGGGTTGTAACAAACTTCTGTCACTTCGGGTGTGTTGAGATAAAGCGGACACATAATGTCTGGAGCCATTGTTGTCCCTATTAAAACTCAAGCTGCTCTGTGTGGGAACAGCTCAAAATATTTTCTTCCTTTATTACAAAAAATGAGACTTTGCAGAAGAGGGAACTTTAACACTTCAAAAAGAAACTAAAGCTTCTGAGAAAAATTCAAATTTTAAGGAAATCAACATATGTTTTTATGACTGACCTACAGGTAGAAGAAAGAACCGCCAAAATACAGTATATGCAGTTCCTCAGGTAAGCGTCAAGTTTTGTTTTAAAAAAATCTCGTCCAACTTTGCCAGTCAAACTGAGGAACAGAATTTCACATTGTGAATAATTTAATGATGGAAACCTGATTGTAAGGAGGAGGTGAAAAAAAGAAATGAGCTCAAAATGAAGAGCTTTGTGTTAGTTCAAGTGCAAGAGAAATCCAGCCTTAATTTATCCACTCTAACTCCAACTCTATATTCAGGACTAGGCAGTCTATCTGAAATCCCTCCGCCTCCTTGCTACACTAACTGCTTCACCCAGTCTGCTGTCACTGATCCTGCTGTGTGTTCCTGCAGCACCTGACACATGTACATGTTGCTGTTTATATCTACCCAAACGTGCAGGTTTGGTTATATGTGTTTTCTAACAAGACTGTGTGATTTTTCTTCCTAGAGCATCAGTCCAGCACAAACTCAGAGTCAGAGTCCTACAGAAGATGCTTCAGGTTGTTCTCCAACCTCCACCTATGCGTTGGTGAAGTTTCACACCACACCTGTGGAATCCACTGGGTACAAAACCACCAACTTGCCAGAGACTGTGTATGCTGAGGTCAAAAGAGCTAACAAATCCAACGCCAGATCCCCCCCCAAGCAAACAACGCCTAAAGCTGATGAAACGATGATATAGGACTATACCGCTGGATGCTTAGACTGCATTTTGGCTCAGCGAGGGTACATATACATATGTGTGTGTGTGTGTACATATGTATATATGTGTATGTGTGTGTGTGTGTGTGTGTGTGTGCTATCACAAAATAAATCAATTGTATATAAAAAATAAATAATTCTTTGTTCATTGTGTGTTTTGAGATGCAAATACGAGTGTAGAGAGGAAGAGAGCAACCAGATAACCAACTCTCCAAGCTCCGCTAGCTTTACATTAGCCACATGTTAGGTCTTAAATTACATTTAGTTAGGTCTTAAATATGTAAGTCCATTTACTGCTTCCTTTGTTGCTTTTCTTTTTGTTTTGTTAAATGAGTGAATGAAGTTGTGACGGTCTCCGCTGAGACAGAGGAGAGAAGCTACTAGCCCTCTCTCGCTGTCACTTCTAGTCGCGTTGCTCTCCTCCCCAGTAATGTTAAATTTAGCACCGAAAAAAACATAATAGTGGTAATTTAAATAGCGGTTCATGGGATTTATTAACCCTCAGGGGTCCCTCTGTCCTTTTTTGGACATTTTCTTCACTTTTCTTTTTTGATTTGCTGATCATTTTGGCTGTGTTACAGCTGAAGGATTGGATTTCTGCAAGAAAGTGTCTTTTTTGACATATTCTTAAAATCTAATGTCAGTTACTGTTACAGGTCTATTATACACTGGTAACACATTTTGTACCCTCTGGGGTTCCTCGCGTCCAAAAAAGGACACACAAAGAAAATGCTATAAAATCATCATATATCAATATTTTGTTCTGCTTTTTTTTGCATACATCTCTTAAACCACTTCAGTTCTGCTCAAACCTACCAAATGTTTATTAGTTTTCAGGATTTTAACCCTTTAAATGCCAGTTTGAAGACATGTTGCCTCTTGTTTTATTAAAAAAAACAACACAGAATATGAGATATTTCCCACATAATACATGATGGAGGGATGTGACATTGTTTTATATCAGAGTATTTTATATCAAGACATTTCTCAAAACCAGAATATGATCAGGGTGACTTCTGAACACTGGAAATAAATCATGTACTCATCCCGGCAGTAGCCCCCGTGGCACTCAAAATTTCCCTGGAATTTTCTAGTTAATGAATGTTACTATAGTACTATTACTACTACTGCTACTGCTACTACTACTATTATTACTACTGCTGCTACTGCTACTACTACTACTAGTGAGTGAGTGAGTAAATGCATGTGTGTGTGTGTGTGTGTGTGTGTGTGTGTGTGTGTGACAGATCAAACAAAGTCCTACTTGAAGTCACTGAGCTTCTTGAAGAGTGTGCAGACATGCAGATTCACTGATGTTGCCTTCGTTTTGAACATCTTCCCGCTCTTCTTGCTCTGCAGCCTCTCATGAACTGCTTTTGTGCTACTCTCAGGATTACAGTAATATCAATGCAGGTTCTGAAAAACAATGTAGTTCGTAGTGTGTCTTTGCAACAGTTTGGCACAAACAACAAAAACAGTGAATTTAGAGAATGGTCTTATCTTTAAAAAAGTCTTGATTCTGACTTTGTTATAACACTTCTAAACGGCAGAAAACTATTCACAATTATCTTTTACTTTCTTGACAGGGAGAATTGTACGACGTTTGCGGACATTTTGACACTTTGAGGTAGAAAAAAAAAGGTAACAACCTTACTCAGTGGATGTTGCTTTATCACTGCAGCTCTGGACGTCTGTGACAAAAGGCTGAGCAGGCTGTAGTGAGGCTGCGCCTTTGTGGCCACAGACACTGGTTGGTAAATGTGCTCCAACGTTGTCATCAACAAAAATAAAATGCATGCTGCAAAAACAGCCCTAACCCTTAAGCAAGAACATGTTATGTCAGTGAAAGTAAACTATCAAGAGATTCTCTGAAAGTGCTGCAATCAGCCCCCCCCCCCCCCCCCCCCCCCCCCCCCGACATGTGAGGTGACAGGTACAGTTAACATAACTAGTTAGTCCTCTTTGTTGAAACACAATGGAAATACCATAATATATTTTAAATAATCTCTGATAATAAAAAATGATATATAACTGTTTCTGTGCTTGTGGGTGAATAATTCTGTTATGATTAGAGTGTGTGAAGCATGTGAAGAACGGTGTTGGTGGAGGGCACGATATAGGAAGTTGGTGTTCGGGCACTTCACTTCCTCATATAAGTTCGTTTCGTGTGGAGTATGTGTCAGAATGGGACGTATTTTATTGATATATGCTGTTTTACTGGTGTGTTCGTGTCAGATGGAAGGTAAAACCTATTTATCTCTACTAATATTTCAAATTTTGGATTGCCTCCTTTTATCTTTAAATTCTGGTTGTTTCACTTCAGCACTGAAACATCGTGGTAAAAGACATGAAATGAGACTAAGGGAGCGCAGGTGAGGAAGAAACTAAATTAGAAGAAAATGAAATGTAGTAATAGCTGTCAAGCTGAAAAAACAAGAATACTGGAGTATAAAAATTGTAAAATGGGAACATATACCCAAAAGTAATAATAAGAAAAGGATAAAGATGAACTTTATTAAACTTTATTTGGAAAGCACCCTGCAGGAAACACAGCTCAAAGAAGAACAGAAATAAAATGTACAAAATATGGTGAACTTGTTTGATAAACATTGTTTCTCCCAGTAAGATAGAAAACTGTTTACAGCCACGTGATCTGACACAAACAAATAAGGGATTTATTGTAAGTCAGGCAGATATTGAAATAAATGTATGATGCTCAGTTGTACTTCATGGAAATATATTTTTCCATAGAAAAACTAGTGAGTAGAAACCTGTATAAAAGAAAACTCACTTCCTTTATTTGATCAGTGAATTTGAACCTCTTAATGATCATTATTTCACTGATTGTAGCAAGCAGTGTCATTCTACAGTAATCTTGAATAACTCACTTCTCTGCAGGTGTGTGGTATGGACGCTATACTGCTTACATGCCAAAATGTCTGACAGTAACAATAATAATTCATATGAGAATTTTCTTAGCTTGGAAAAGATATTGGTAATAGTTACATAGAAGAAAGCTAAAAGCTTGTTCCATTAAATAATTTGAAAGAACTACAGGAGTTTGCATGTTTCTCTTACGTTCTTCTGTACAGAGTAAGTATCTACAGAGAATGGATGGTTGCATGAAATAATCACAAACAATTCCACAAAGCGAAGTTACCTACACCCTACAGGAAACACAGCTCAAAGAAAAGCAGAAAAAAAATGTACAAAATATTTAGTAAAGCTGCATGGACTTAAATGCTAACAAGGTGTAGTGGACACATTTTCTTATTTTGATATGATGTGCTGAGTCTGTTCCTCCTGGAAGCGAGACTTTACGCACGCTTGTTATCAGGAGACAATTCAATGGAAAGTTACCTGATGTAAAATGTATAAACAAATTCAATAATGTTATTTGTTACTGTGGCTTTATATTCATTCAAGCTGTTCAGGGAGGGACCTCTACACTCTAAGAATTTTCACTGTAAATTTACAGTAAGTAATTGGCTAATAATTGCATTACTTTCACAGTAATTCACTGTAAATATTTTCACAGTAATTTACTGTAATTATTTCACAGTAATTTACAATAAAACTACAACACTTTACCGTAAGTTCACAGTTGCCATGCCCATGGAATTACTGTGATAAAGCAGTATTTAGCTGTGGACTTACTGCTACTACTTACTACTGTGAAATAATTACAGTAAATTGCTGTGAAAATATCTACAGTGAATTGCTGTGAAAGTAATGCAATTATTAGCCAATTATTTACTGTAAATTTACAATTTAAATAATACTGTAAGATATTGTAACATTCACTTGTTAATTGTGATTTTACTGCACCTACACAATATATTTAAAGCTGTATTGGTGGGTTAGGGTTGAGACTGAAGTATTGAGCTGTTCTTCCTACACAGAAAGTTTCACAAGGACAAATTATGTGAACTTAGTAAATAAACTCATTTCTCAAGAACCTTTCAATGACAGGTCAATATGAAATTGGTCAGTAGTCAGTATTTATTTACTTTTTTTTGGACGACTTGAAAACATGTCATATTATCACATTGTAAAGTTGTCATGGTGAACTTGTCGTTTCTCCCGGTAAGATAGAAAATGTTTTACCACCAAGTGATTTGACACTAACAAGTTTGGCAGCATACAGCATGTTAAAATAAACAAAGACTAAAATCATTAAAATATATAAGTATATAGTTGGAAGGTTTAGGGTGTGGCGTGTGATGGATGAAAAACTGCATCAGACAGGGATTTTTTTTTGTTCCAGAGCTCTGAGTTTTCTTTTCTTTACTTGTGCAAAGAGGTTACAAAAACATGACACACATCTTACAATCAGGTAGCTGGTGGCCAACAGAAGCAGCTTTTTCCCTGCACAGCAGACTCCACAGAGGCGACATAACCTGACCCCCTCTCTCTGACACACAATGCTGCTACTTCACAGCATGGAGCTTATACACTGGAGGGCACTCCACTTCCACTCCCTTTAACACACATATTTACAATTTAATATTGCCATTATTTACATAAACATGACTACAGCCTAACACAGGATACATGAGGCACATAACAAACCCTCTCTCCTGTCTGACCACCTGGTCCAGCCAAACAAGATGACTGGCTTCAGCTGTAGCTGCAGTCTCATGTGTGCACTCCATGAAACACGCACCCGGAAGTAGACCTCGAAGAGAGAGCGGTTAGTTGAAATGAACTTCCTGTTTAAGCTTTCCCAACTTTAAAAAGTCATTGTGTGTGTTTTTACACCTTAGTGAGGGGGATGCCTCCCAGCTCCCTCACACTATGAAACAAAATATATAAACACCAATGATATAACTATAAACTATAAAAGATGTCATTCTATATTCATCATAAATTCAAGGGATCCCTGCATGAGATTTTGATTGATCTATGTGAGACCAAAATTGAAAGAAAAAAAAAACATGGTATCTATAATAATGATAATAATAATAATAAAATTGCATTAATGTGGCAACCTGGGAACAGTAATGTGGGTGAGAGGGTTTTTCAGAAGACAGAATTGAATGGACAGAGTGAAGAGTGCAGTGGTGAAAGGAGTATGAGTAACATGTTACTGTCATCAGGGTCAGTTTCACCTGTTACACTCCTCTATCCTTCAGCACGATGTGGTAAATACATTTCCCAACCCTTATTAAACCATGATCAGATGAAGATGCTTCATCATTTTCAACTGATGATCCAAGTGTCAGACATGAAGAATAGAAATGGAGTAGCATTCAGTATTTACCAAAGAACCATGTACTGTCTGTGATTTCTGTTGTATCATGTGTTTGTTGTTTTACAGGCTCCAGTGCTGTGACTCCTGTATTTGTGCAGAAGGGGAAGGATTTAATGCTGGAGGTCATGGCGGATGATGTACCTGAGGATTTTTTGATTTTTCAATGGAAATTCAATGAAAGTAACACTTTAGTAACATTTTCACCTGGTAAAGAACCAACAGTCTCTAATGTTTACACTGGAAGGGTTGAGGCTTCTGTGAAAAATTTCTCTGTGAAACTGAAGAATCTACAAGAGGCAGACAGTGGAGTTTATATTGCACGAGTGACAAGTGCTCAAGGAGATAAAAAACCAGCTGAATACAGCGTCACAGTTCAAGGTAGGTTTGTTAACATCCCAGACACTGACAGAGACAATCTGCTGCCATGTTTCTGAAACGCTTCATGTAAACTTTCCCCCTCAGATCCAGTGTCTCCAGTTGCCATGACAGTAGACTCTGTGTCTAACAGCTCAGACTCCTGTAGCCTCACTGTGACCTGCAGCACACAGGACTCACATCACATCAACAGCACCTTTACATGTGACACCAACACCTGCAGTCAGGAGGGAGGAGAGAGGTCAAAGGTCACAACCTCTGGTGCTTCACTCAATGTCTACCTGCTGAATGACTTAATCATCTGTAACCATAGCAACCAGGTCAGCTGGACCAACGACAGTAAAATAATTGATCTCTTTTGTCCCAGACACACTGGTAAGTCTTTATAATAATTTGACACAGTTTGGAGTTAAATTTAGAGCATTTAAGGATTTATTTTTTAAATAAAACTTTTACTTTGTCCAAGTAAATAAGGTCTCACCCATCAGAAAGGACTAAAATATATCATGTTTTCGATGAATTGATAAACAAATTGTGTCCATTACAAATACATTTGAAATATATATATTATATAATACAGTATATATATTAAGGTAGGCAGGGCAGTTTTTTTTTTTTTTTTGCAATTTTCTATTTTGCTGTAATATTTTGACTGGCAGAACTGAACCTCAACAGAGCGGCCTTGTTAAACCAGGCAGGAGGAGGTGCATTTAAACTAAATCATTTAGTGAGTTTTGGAATGTTGGTAGTTTTAACTTACATTTGCCTCCGTCCATTAGGGTTTTTTTTTTCTCTCTTACAACAGATCAGATCATTTATATAATTAAAAGTATAATCTGTCAAGAGCACAAGATGTAATGCTGCAGTAGAACATTCTCATCATGATGATTTTAAGTAGTTGTAAATTTCTAATCTAGCTTTTGTTTTTTATTACAGATCCTGAAAGAACCCATGTCCATAGTTATGTTATTGTTATTTGGGTTTTGATCATAATTGTCACAGCAGGTGGTTCTGCTGCTGCTGGTTATCTAAAAATAAGAAAAGGTAAGTCAGAGTGTGCTTTGTAACTTAATACCAAAGTTAAATCTCCAAAACCTTATTATACATCGGAATTCACCATCCTCACAGTGTGTTTCATTTTCTATACCCATAAATTTGGAAGTGCAATACAATAATTATGTAATAGACAATATCTTAGACCTTTCACATAGCCTGGTATACAGGACGGGTTGTTGTTCAGAGTAGCCAATGTTATGACAAACCTCTGTAACTTAAAGCGCCATATGTTGGTTTTGTAGTTGATCATTGCATCTTATTCTGAGAAATTATTCTGTTAGCTGAATTGCAGAAAAACAAACAATCAATGGATGCGGTCTTTATGCCTTGGCCCATTCACTCTAACCATCCCCAGGCTAGATCCCAGGGGGAAGGAGAGGGGTATCTGCATGCACTGCTCTTTGGCAAAACACCTGTTTTGATAAAAACTCTCACCAACATCACAAAAATATCAAATCCCACAAATATGAGTTTTTAAAATGTGCTGCTGTGTGACGATGGAGTAATTTAGTGTAGGTGCAGCTCAAGTAATGTAAATATTAATGCAGTTCAGCTGTAGAAATCTCTCAAAATGAAGTGTAAATTAAATAAAGTTAAAACATATTTGTTGTTACTGACTTGCAGATAAAAGAAAGAACATGGAAAATACAGTGTATGCATATCCTGAGGTAAGTTTTTTTTTTCATATCTGCCTCCCAGAGTTGCCAGACAAAGAATTTCAGACTTTGATCAATCAAACAATAGAAACCAGATATGAGGAAACAGGCAAAATAAAGAAATGTTTTCAAATTCAAAAACTGGAGCTTTACATATATGATCTGCTGGCTACCCCTACACACACTAGTCAATATGCATTTTCCTGACAGGTGGTCTATTTGCTGTACATGACCTGTGACCTCTTGCTACACCAACTACTGCTTGGTCTTGCCTGCCACATGTGTTTGTCACTGATCCTGCTGCTTGCTTGTGCTCAAACAAAAGGTTTGCACCGGATCAACCTGATGAATTTCCAGATGCAGCGTGATCCACCTATCCAAAACACCCTACCGAAGTCTTGTCTGTAAATGATTCAACTTAAACTGCAGGATGTTTCTTTGTGCTGCATGTGTGTTGTCAGTTGTTGAATGTGCCTCAGTTTGCTTGTGTTACAGTTTTTTTTCATCGTTTTGCTGCTTTGTTAGGAATAGTTCTCAACACTCCTCATGCAACTATCAGAATCACACACTAGTGTCTAAAGAGACAATAACGTCAATACAACAACTACGTCATTTACAATAGGCCAAAGGCTTTTAGGCACATTGCTTCCACTATGTTTGCAGCTGTGTTTTCTTCTTCCCTCGCTCGCCTGTTATTGGCTTACACCAGGTAACCTACATGTGACTTCATACTGAGCCAAAGGTTTTGTGCCTCTGCGTATTCTTATACAGTGAATGAAATTTCTCTTCATTGGGAACCAGATTATTATGAGCAGAAGACTCTACAGAAATCCACACTCAGTGTCTTATTTGTGTTAAATGTTTTTGTGAACCACGTTTTCTCCATGTGATTTTCTCTGTGACAGTGAGATTACTTCATATGTTCATGATAGCACTATTCAAATGAAGTGGGACATAAATATCGCAAACAACCTTTGCCAAAAACGTCTTCTGTGATTTATTTTCCAGGTTGAAAATGACCGACCTGTGAATCAGACTCCAACCAACGATGCAACCACCACCTACTCCATGGTAGGGTCTCACACTGGACCCATGGGATCCACTGAGACCAGAGGCAATACTCTGCCAGAAAGCCCGTATGCTGAGGTAGATAAGCCATGAATTTTATTCCATATACTGCACTTGTAGCGATTTCCAATTTGTATTTAAGCGTTGCCCAAGCTGGTGACACAGCATGCAGTATTGTCACATTAGAGCCAATTTAAATGTCATGAAAAGCTGCTTTAGAATATTAATTTTGTACCAATCATGTGTGCAGGCATTCAGCCAGCTCAGCCAGAGAAAGACACGAGTGCTACAGGCCCTTAAATGTGCACAAATGAGGCACCGTCATGGAACACTGTATACAGTTCCCCTAATACATCCAAGAGCAAAGTGGCTCAGTCAAAAAAATAAAAATGTAATCGACTCTATCATCTACTCTGGTCATCAAATCAAGAGGAGTAGGAAAAATATAATTTGCAGTGTCTTTTTCTAAATGCCATGTACTGTATGTGTTGTGTAGAGTGGTGCAGATTCTCTCTCTTTTTGCTTGTGTTTAAGTTACAGTGTGTTGTGCTCTTTTCTCAGCCAAGAGATTTGTTTGAAATTAACTCGGGCATCTTTTAGACACAGTGACCTGTCCTGTCCTGACTTTGCTCTTGATGAACCTAAATATGTGTTTTACAGCCATTTCTTGCATTTTAGATAAAAATACAAGTTCATTGTGATGTCATGAAAAACAGGGATATCGCTTTGTAATAAGTGATACAGATGTTTGTGGTTTTGAAGGATACAGATGAGCTATTGTTAATGAGATTACTTCATATGTTAATACAGTATAATAGCACCATAATGTGATGTAAAGATGTCCAATGCACTTTATCGAAAATATCTTCTGTGATTTATTTTCCAGGTTGAAACAACCCAACCTCATGAGCAAAGTCCAACCAATGATGCTTCAGTTCTTCCTCCAAACTCCACCTACGCCTTGGTAGGGTCTCCCTCTGGACCCATGGGATCCACTGAGACCAGAGGTAATACTCTTCCAGAAAGCCTGTACGCTGAGGTAGATAAGCCTTCCAGGGCCTGAAAAAAGATCTGAAATTGTCATTGTGTTTTCTGAGGGAATTGTTGATAATTTGGACTGATGTTTGAAGTGGGAGAGCCTCATGATGATCCAAGCTGTAGAAGAGCGCCAACTTTGAGTCATGTGACATTTCTGTGGGAAGGAAAAGGATTTTTACTTCTGAAACTAAATGAGTTTTGAATTACTCCTCCCACTGAAACTCTATATCTATCTCTTCTATTTATATCCAATTTATTATTGTAAATACGTGTATTATTATAACCCAATAACAGTGCTTGGAGCTGTAATAATTTCAATTATTTCCCGGTAAGACACATATAGTTTTATACTTGTTTCTAAAGACTTGAATTAACTTTTTTTGATGAAACATGAAACAAATTATTAAAACAAAATACTTTTTCTGATTTGTAGGATGTCGTTGTTGTTGTTGTAAAGATATTAAAAGAATATGCCACTGAAAATAAAACTTTTCAGAATCAAATACTTGCTCCTTGTAAAAGGCTGTTCTGCAAAGTTGGTATATGTTCTGAATGTATGGATCAATGGTAGTATATGAAACGTACATTTTACTGGGAAAATAAAGTTCAACTCAGAGATGTTACTCCTGGAGTGTAACTGTATGTTTTAAGTTTCTGTGTCATATTTTGTTGTGCATTCAGTGTATCAAGTGTGTTTCCTATAACAAAGGTTAAAACAAGCTTAAAGTATTGGGAATTATCTATGTTTTGATCAAATGAACATGGAATTCACCAAACAGATGTGTGAAATCTTTTCAAGGATATTGTAAATATGACCTCATGCATTGTTACATATAGTGTATTAATGAAAGTTATATTATTTGTAATTTTTTCAAGAAAACAACATCCACAGACATTTTTAACAGGGGAATCTCTTTACAATCATTTTATTTACAGAATGAGATTATTGAATATTGGGTATAATCAATGGATAATCAAGAATAATTTGCATTTGTATTGAATATTAAAAGTTTTTTTTGCAAAGAAACAACATTTACATTAACAGTCATATATTGTGAGTATTTGATGCTTCAGTTCTTCCTCCAAACTCCACCTACGCCTCTGAGGGTCTCCCTCTGGACCCATGGGGGATCCACTGAGACCAAGGTAATACTCTTCCAGAAAGCCGTACGCTGAGGTAGATAAGCCTTCCCAGTGTGCTGAAATTGTCATTGTGTTTTCTGAGGGAATTGTTGATAATTTGGACTGATGTTTGAAGTGGGAGAGCCTCATGATGATCCAAGCTGTAATAGAGCAGCCCGATTTGCAGCATCACTGATGACATTTCTCGGGGAAAGGAAAAGGATTTTTACTTCTGAAACTAAATGAGTTTTTGAATTACTCCTCCCACTGAAACTCTATATCTATCTCTTCTATTTATATCCAATTTATATTGTAAATACTGTATTATTATAACCAATAACAGTGCTTGGAGCTGTAATAATTTCAATTATTTCCCGGTAAGACACATATAGTTTATACTTGTTTCTAAAGACTTGAATTAACTTTTTTTGATGAAACATGAAACAAATTATTAAAACAAAATACTTTTTCTGATTTTGTAGGATGTCGTTGTTGTTGTTGTAAAGATATTAAAAGAATATGCCACTGAAAATAAAACTTTTCAGAATCAAATACTTGCTCCTTGTAAAAGGCTGTTCTGCAAAGTTGGTATATGTTCTGAAGTATGGATCAATGGTAGTATATGAAACGTACATTTTACTGGGAAAATAAAGTTCAACTCAGAGATGTTACTCCTGGAGTGTAACTGTATGTTTTAAGTTTCTGTGTCATATTTTGTTGTGCATTCAGTGTATCAAGTGTGTTTCCTATAACAAAGGTTAAAACAAGCTTAAAGTATTGGGAATTATCTATGTTTTGATCAAATGAACATGGAATTCACCAAACAGATGTGTGAAATCTTTTCAAGGATATTGTAAATATGACCTCATGC